CAGCTGTGTGTGTGTGTGTGTGTGTGTGTGTGTGTGTGTGTGTGTGTGTACATGCACGTGTGCACGCTGGGGTGGGGGTGGATAGGCAGATCCAAGAAATGACATTCTGGGTGCCCTTGTTGCTTCTATGGGCCCCCAAAGGAAGCTAGGAAACAGCATCTGGCTCCCTTGTCCCCATGGGCCCCTGGACCCAGCCCAGCTGGCCCAGGTGTGAAGATGTCCCAGTGTGCAGGGCCCTCATGGCCAGCAGCTGCCGCCAAAAGGTGGAGCCAGAGAAATAGGAGATCTGAATAATGGGAGAAAATTATTATGTCTTCGTGCGAGCCGGAGCCCAGCCCTCCTCCCCATGGGTGTGATAACTGGAGATGTCTTACGTTTCTCCTGCTCAGAGCCAAGGCCAGCCATGACAATACTCGCATTGTTTTCTGTGCTGGGGTATTGTTACCCGATGACAGTGCCCTGAAATACTACTACAGAGCACAGGGTTAGCACACGTGGTTGGAACCATGGGCATCTGTAGGAAATACAGAGCTGGAGGGGGTGACTACAAAGTCAGCAGGGAATGATGGTTTTATACAAGTGGTCTGGTGACAGCCAGGCCCACAGCTAGGCAGGGCCTGGCAGGAGGGAGCTGCTGGCACCCCGGCACCCTGTAGCAAGTTCTATGGCCTACAGAGGTTTCTGCCTGTGGCATAACAAGACTTAACTGGCTTTGGTTGCTTACCTGGGACCAGATGAGAGGATGGTCCATGCTAGTTGAGGTGTTGGGCCTGCCTCCAAAGGCTGGCAACAGTCCTGATGCTTGGGTTCTATCTCTGAACAAAAAAGAAAAAAAAAAAAAAGCACAGGATTCTATTCTGGGGTGGGGTGGGGGTGGGGGTTACCAGGTTGCTGACTCAGAGTTAGCAGATAGACAGATCCTAGTTTTTCAACCCATAGAGGTTCAGGAAGCTGGTCCATACCCCCACATAGGAGGACACCAACCAGTCAGCTCAGCATCCAGAGACTGAGCCAGCCCCAGCACAGCCCACCATCCCCTCTAGACTGTTGGCCATCTGTAAATAATCATAGACAGGAATGGAAAGTGCTGGCCCCCAGGGCCATGGTTCCTCTGCAGCCAAGGACACCTGGGGACAGCTGCTTCTTACATCTTAGAAAGAATGGGAGCCACCTCTGAGTCAGCAAGGTTATCTTAGAAGGGCAGCCCTGGGGAGAGGTCCTGACCACGTGTATATTGGGCCCTCAAGATGGCCTGGCTTCTCAGCACCATCTCCCACAACCCCGCCGCCACCCCCCCAAGCACCAGGCCGAAATCTTAAGCAGCTCTATCATGAGGAATTAGATGGGCTGTGTGTTCAGATTCACTGGTTTACAGGACTCCTGTCTTGCTGGTTCCAGAGAGGGACAGAGTAGCTAGCTGATCAGATTCATACCTTGGGCCAATCCCTGGTAGGTACACCATCCCTTTCTCTCACACAGCTCTTCTGCCCCTGGGAACATCCCACTGGGATATTAAAACTTCATAGGAGGCCAAGGCTCAGGGCCAGAAGAAACTCACACCTGGGGCTCTTTGGTTTTCGAAGCACACATCTGGACAGCATCTGGTCCTCACAGGTGTGCAGAGTCTGAAACTCCCCAGGCACCAGCACTGCACAAGAAGATCAACGGAGGAACACGGAATCCCTTCGCGCTCTCGTTTCCCCACCTGCATGGTCAGCTAGCCTTGCCTGCTGGTCTCCTGGCTACTTTTCTCCCATCTTCAAAACATTTTCTGCTTCCTGGGGGCCCACAGCTTGTACATCCATTCCTTGAACTGGTGGGCTTCCTTTGAGTGCTGTCAGATGATGATGGGAATGAATGAATGAGTGTGTGGCTGAGATGGCGTATTCAAGAGTTAGAGCGAGCCAATGAGGGAATACGTGAATATTTATTAGAGTGAGTGAGTGAATGCATGAGCCAGGCTTCTTGGCATGTGTATCTTGGGAGGATGAAGTCCCCCTGGGTGGAGGATAGTTCTTGGAGGAATAGCAACAGGTTAGCCACACTAGCTGCCATAACAAAGCACCACAGCCATGCATATTCACACATCAGAATTTCCTCGCCCATGACAAGGCTGAAGTCTGAAGTCAAAGAAGTCACCTGGATTGTTCCTTCTGGAGGCTCTGGGAAGGATCCATCTGGCCTGTGCAGCTTCTGGTATCTACAGGCTTTGACTTGTACGTATGTTGCCATGTTCTCCCACATCATTCTTGCATGCCCACTGGAAGACTGTCCTCATCGTGGTTATTAACTGACACCTGCAGCCCTACCTGGGTGAGGTGGCAGGGGCACCTGCCCTATCTCCAACTCCTTCTGAACCTGAATTGGGTGCTGGGGTCTCAGTGTCAGTGGTGGCGGTGGCAGAGCCAGCCCCAGCCTTAGCAACCCAGAGCCACTTGAGACAAGTAACTGAACACACTGTGACATCCAGGTGGTGGCTGTACTATATGATGGTCCATGGTTAATGGAGTATGGGGTCGCATTGGCAGCATCCTTGCTTCAATTGTACTGTCTCCAGCATGAGTCTGGGAGTCTGAGTCAGAGAGCCTGCTCCTGAGAGTTCCGTTAGCAAAATCCTGAGCTGTCCTCTAGAGGGGCGGCTGAGGCTTGAAGGTGCTTGTAGTCAAGCCCCAAGGCAGAACACACTGTAGAATATAGGGCATTAACTGCTGTCCACACACAGAAACCCTCCTCTCCTTCCAAACAGCGTCTTCCTTCCTGCCTGTGCATGGAGTACCACATCTGCTAGTCTGAGTTAAAGCTTATTCGTGAAAAGTCAATTACTATGTTGGCCCCTACTGGTCCCCTTCTGCAGTGTTTGTCTACAGCTCTCTTTGGAGAACTCCTTTTTAAGATGAATGATACATGTAGAAATGAGAATCAGTTTTCTATGCCTGGCATGACACTACAGTTTCTCTGGATAGCCCAGTCAGAAAAGTTATTTATATGCAAGTATGAAAGCTCAAGTTCAATCCACAGAACCCACATAAAAGTTGACAAAGAGAGTCCAGAGAGACACCTCAACTGCTAAGAGCACTGGCTACTCTTCTAGAGGACATGGGTTCAATTCCCAGTGCCAATATGGTTGTGTAGCAGTTTCCTGGACATTGCAATATTTTATCATACAGGGAAGTCCCTTAAACAGGAAGGTAAACAAAGGAGCCTCAGGAAGTCCCTGAAACTGACCAGACTCACTAAGTCCCTCAGGACAAGAGGAAGAAACAAAGGCTGCTGAGGGTCACCCTCAGATCAAAGGAGCCTAAGTGCAAAAAAGATTCTCAAGACCAGACAGTTGCCAGGAAGAGGGGTGGACCACCAACTAAGTCACCTGGAAAGGACACTCTCCAACCTGTAGAGCTGCCTACAGGCTGTGCAATGTGCTCTAGGTTCCCATGCTCTGGTGGGCTTTAGTGATACACCTGGCTTTGAGTCATTTCTGCCCCTGTGAGTAACCCTTCACCCCCATGTTTCTGTAAGTGACCCCCAAAAAACTCATGGTTCATCAAGCTGGACTGTGGTGGCATCAGTACTTTGGTCTGTTGTGTGATCACTTTCTGGGGTAGCATCTCCCTAGGAAAAGTTTTGTCACACAACTTTGGCATCTCACAATCATCTATACCTCCAGTTCCAGGGGATCTGACACCCCCTTATGAACTTCTCCTGTGTCAGGCACAACTGTGGTGCTCCTCATGTAGGCAAACACACACACACACACACACACACACACACACACAATATCTAAATATTTTTTAAATGTTAGACATGGAGGCATGCATTGTGATCCCAGTGATATGGAAGCAGACACAAGATTATTGCGGGGACTTGATGGCCTACCCATGTAGCCTAAACAGTGAGCTCCAGGCCAATCCCCGAAGACTGACTCAAAATGAAAAGTGGACAAGCTCCTTGGGAAAGGCACTCGAGACAAGAACACACACATCTGAATGCACGCGTGCGGGCACACACACACACACACACAGGCAGGAAGGAGGAGGAAGCGTTTCTCTGTATTCGCCATTTCTCTGCCAATTATTTTTTGGGAGAAGTCCACCAAATGCATGTGGAAATTCCCTTCATGCATCAGCTATTCAACCGTTACTTTACTGACGGCCATTAACTTTGTTTCCAGTATTTTGCCTCCAAACAATGATGCTATAAACATCCTTGAAAGTGAAAACAAACACAATCACCCATGGAGGTGTAGGGAGTCCTCAACTGCTGATATCTGCTCCTAGATTCATGGCCACCATCCCCTACGGAGTAGAGAGGCTCCACACTGTGTCACTGCCTGGCCTCTGGACAGCCCTGTCCTGCCTAACAAGGACCTCCAGGCGGGGGCTCCTTGAACCTTCAGACAGAGTTGAACTTAGACCTGCTCCTCAGCCTCCTGCTGACTATTCCCAAGCTCTCAGTCCTACCTGACACCCTTCAGATGCATTCCCCAGCTCTTCTGAATAAAGCCTTTGGCCTCTGCCAAAGGACAGCACCAGGGCTCTCTCAAAATAAAGGGCAGGTAAAAGGGTGTGGATAGAACCTCCACACAGTCTAAAAGGATTTGGCTAGGTGCCTAGAGAGATGGTTTAGTCAGTAAAGAACCGGCCACATAGCTCTGGAGAGGTGGAAACAGAAGGACCCCTGGCCAGGAAGCCTAGTCTAATTGACAAGCACCAGGTCCAGTGAGAGACTGTCTCAGAAAGCAAGATTGCTTCTGAGGAAGGATACCGGAGGTCACTCACAGGCGAGGCACCCACCCACATGTGAACACGCCTTGCACGTGTGTGTGTATGCACACACACTCACACTCAAAGCAATTCTGCTACCTTCAAGAATGAACTGAGCTTGACACAGTCAACTGATTCACCATTCATCTTTAATTGAATATGGCACTAACACCATGGGGGAGCTCATCTCCCATGGGTGTCCCTTGCGAGGGACAACGGTTACTGGGAGCATGCGGTCCTTCAGAAACACCGTCTCTGGACCACAGACGCCCCGAACTCCTTGAAGTCTGCAGCGGTGATCCACATTTGCTTGAAACTGATCAGAGACGTGACAATGGAGGCTCCGATCCACGTCGAGAACCAGCGGTCGGGAGGTGCTGTGATCTTAATGGGGACTCCCTTGGAAGCCAGCTGCTCCAGTTCCCGCAGGAGCCTGTCATCCAGCCCCTGAAACAGCGTCGTGCCCCCGGACAGGACAATCTCCCCGAAGAGAGTCTTCTGTATGTCCGCATCGCACTTGGCTATGCTGTTGGACGCCATCTGCGCCAGCCCTGGGCCATGGGTGCCTAGCTGGTCTGGAGAAAACAGAACCTCGGGAGCCTGGTACAGCTGGTCTCCGATGTAGATGACATTCCCGTCGGGCAGTTTGTACTCCCTCAAGACGTCTTCTGCCCGCCGAGAAAGTTCCTCCTCAGGCTCCAGGGCCACGTAGCATAGTTTTTCCTTGATGTCATCCACGAGGGCCTTGTCCAGCGGGCATGGAAAGGCTCTCCCGCTGGCCAGGAGGAGCCGGGTGAGGAGCTCCGTGATGTCCCTGCCGGCTACGTAAAGTTTGCTGACCGCATGGGGCAAGGAGTAACCCTCAAAGATAGGGACAGTGCAGGTGACCCCATCCCCGCTGTCCACTACCAGGCCCGTGACACAGGCAGAGGCATAAAGCGCCAGCACAGCCTGGTCTGACAGATAGAAGGCAGGCACATCGAAGGTCTCGAACATCATCTCTGCCGTCTTCTCCCGATTCTCCCGTGGGTTCAGAGAGGGCTCTGTCATGAGCACAGGTCGTTCACTGGGCTTCACACCCAGTTCCCATTCAAAGAGATGTCTCCAGAGCTTCTCCACATCATCCCAGCTGGTGACCAGGCCCCGCTCGATGGGGGAGTGCAGGCGCAGGGCCTCCTGTTTGTACAGGGCTTCCTCCCCAACAAAGTACTTCTTCTGATTGGCTCCGGTTGAGGGCATCTTAAACTTCGGGTACCCCACGATAGAGCTGGTGACATGTCGGGGCCCGATCTCCCCAGACAGCCCTGCTTTACAGAGCCCAGATCCGTTGTCAAAAATCACAGCAGGAGAATCTAGAACCTGTGGGTTAAACATGTCCGCATCAATCCCTTCTGAGTGATACCAAAATATAAGCAGATGAGCCTTCTTGGGCCAGCTCGTGTCACAATAGGTTTCCCTGGAAGTTCACAGAATTCCAGGGTTCCTGGAGGTCTCCCAGGCACAGCTAGCAGACTGACCCTAATGCCTGGGAACCCTCCATCGTTCTTGGTGGCTTGCTCTCCACTTGGGTGGCCTTAGCTTGCAAGGCCTTTTCAAGAGTGCTTGACCTATAAGTAATAATTCAGATGAAGTAACAATTGTCCTCAGTGGGTGTGAGGGCCTGTGGTGGGGCTCTGAATCCTTGTATTCCCTGATGGGTGAGATAAGCAGAAAAAGTCCTGGGTGATGTTGAGACACCTGGGGATCAGAGGCCTCATTTGGGAATGAGGAGCCCCAGGGCACTGCCTTGTACAGGATGACAACACTTCACTTTCCAGGTCCCAGGGGCAATGCTGGAACATTGCTTTTTGAACAGGCACTCTTCCAGGAAGCTCTCAGGAATATCTCCTCATTGTCTGACTCCAGGTCTCCATTCCCATTCCAGTCCAGGTCAGAGTCCTTCATCTTTCTCTCCGTATGCCCTAAGGTGCCCAGGAGCAATCTCTAGTTCATTTCATCATCAGCTCATATAGAGGTGGCCCCTCTGGGTCTAGACACACAGGACAGTAAAGGTATACCCATCGAAGGGCACTCAGAAACAAACAAGGACTGGACCTACGGAGCAAGACTGAGGCGGTGGCTGGGAGCCACCTGCTGCGGCCTCAGAGACACACACAGGCACATGCTGGCTCTGAGACCATACTTGGCACTCAGCTTGGGAAAAAATACAAGACGATTGATCCTGGGCACAGCTTCCCCATTCCCTGATTATGGAGAGGGCCTTGGAAAGGTGGTTTCTTCTGGCTGTTTCCCTCCCATTGTGTGCAGGGACACAGGTAAGCCAGATTCCTCCTCCATACAGAAAGTTCTGTCAAAGCATCTCTTCCTGGTACCACGTCCTTCCTAAAGCCTGAGATCTTTAGGCCCAGGGTCCCTCTATGCCCCTCTGGCCCTGCTGATCCATCAGCAGGCATTACTAAGAAAAGCTGTCACAAGGCTGTGTTGTTCAGACAGGTAGTGTAGACATGATATAGACACAATGTGGAAAGTGGGCTGAGGGCGCACATGAGGACGTGTAGTAGGTATGTGTTGTGAACTGGCAGTGTTGACGTGTACTAATGACGTGGCTTTCTTGGTACCACGGAATCTCACAGGGGGTGATGATGAAAAGTTAGTGGTCACTAGAGGCTTTGCCTCTGGAGAAAAGCATCCAACACAGATGGAGGCTGAGGTAGAGCAGACAAATCTTCGCTCTTGGGTAAGCCAGGTTCACCATGTGACACAGTCCTATTGCTGCTTAACAACCCTCTCAGCCACTATACCCGCCAAGGCCATGAGATGGGCCAGGCACATGCTAGTAGTCACCCACAGTGGGCTAGAGGTCCAGGTCAAGCATAAACACGGGCTCTATGGCCATTTGTGCTGTGCAATGCTGAGGTCAGACTCCTGCTAGATGTCCACCAGAGCAGGAGGCTCCCACAGAGGTTGCAAAGCCAGATCCCAAAGTCCTCAAGCAAGGTCTCTGCCAGGAGCCAAGAACACCTTGGTGAAGATGCTCTGCCTGCTTGTGGGTGCCACATTGCCCCAGAGAGATGATGGTCCTACTCAGCAATAGTACATCCTGACTGTGCAAGGCCCTGCTGCCCCCACAGCCATCAAGGCAGCCTTGACCTTGTAAAAGCCCCCAGTGGCCATAACTATTGAGTTGACCATGATCTCTACCTAAACCTAACTCTGTATAATCTGCTCATTTGCTTTGGTTGCCGGGTCACTAAGACTTAAAGCCCCTCATTTTGGGAACTATATTCATACCTATCTGTCTGTGGGTGTGGGTGGTAGAATGATGTGACTTGGGGTTCCATCTTGCTTGCATCACAGAAGCCCTGTGTGTTCATCTCTCCGGTGCTGCCATGTCTTTCCAACTAAACCAGATGAGTGACAAAGCCTTCTCGATGTGAACATAGTGTGTGGTGGGGAAGGAGGGCTCTTGGGGCAGTGACATGGGTGTGTCTCGGTGGCTATGGGCTAGCTGAGGTTCTGATATCCCTAGTAAGTACAGGAGAGAGTTTGGACTACTTCCTTTCATGTGGGTATCATGGCACCCTGAGGTTCCTTGGCACCCCACTAAGATAGCAGCACATGGTAGCAGTGTCCCAGGGGCCAGCTGATGCTTACACAAGTATAGACAGGCAGCCTAGCCTTGTCCCCTCCCCAGACATGGCTTCCTCCTCAGCCTACAAGTTAGGTTCCCAGCCCTCTCCTGTCTACCAGGTTTCTCATCCTCTGGACCGCCGTGTGGTGTTCACACTTGATCACATGGATGCACATGTGTAAGCAGTGTACAGATACAAGTTTATGTGTACATACATATGTGGGTGGGTACATGTGGCGCTCAGAGGACAACCTCAGGCTGTGTCAGGGTGTTGTTCCTTGGGCGTTACCACCTTGCCAACTGAACTATCAACTAAGAACCTCTAGGTCACTCTGTCCCCCTCAATCCCCTGCTTTCAAGAAAGCCAAGCTGTAGCCTGGGGTAAACAGCTGAGAACAAGCCAGGAAGAAGCCTTGGGACAGCCATCTGTGTATGTCCATCTGTGTATGTTAGTATGATGCTGCCATCTCTCTGTCCCAGGAAAGCTGTGGCTGCCAGGGTTCCACACACGGAGCTGAGTGGCCCCAGGAACAGCACTACTTTGCTCACATAGGACAGTGCCTCTTGGCCAGGCATAGACCTTTGTCAGACACCACCACGTGGGATTCCTGGATGCTGGGAACTGGCTGGCCAATCATCTTTCCTGGGTTTTATGTTGGAGTCCAGAGAAGGCAAGGCTCAGCCCAGAGCATGGCACAGGCTCAGCAAACACTCTATCCCGACACCAGTGTGCAACTGGGTAAGAGAAAGAATTGGGGGGGACAGAATTCCAAAGACCCTGGCATGGAGGAGCCAAGGGCATCCCCTGGAGTAACATCACATGGCCATTGCAAATAAAAACAGGTGGGTTTATGAGCCATAGCCTATGAACGTGATGTTGGGCTGGTTTGGAGCTGCCTCAGGGCAGAAATTCCACGTGCTTCTCAGGTGCTAGGAACCTTCACAGCCCTCTTTAGAATAGAATCCTTGATGTGACTAGCGGCACTCCACCTCAGAAACACTCTGACCCTGAGTCCCAGGTTCGGTATATCTTGGAAGGACCGTGTGCACCTTAGCATGGCTGAGGCCCTCAAGTCTTCCTGTCACTGCAAGTATGTGTTATCTGTCAGAAACATTTGGTAGCCGGCTAGCAGTGCAATTTCAGGGGGCAGCCACAGTGAGGGTGTGTTTGCCATTAACACAGAATCTCTCCTCTCCCGGCTCCAATTAGAAGCTGCCTGAGTCTGCTGCCCCTACCCTAAGCCAGCCAAGCCTCATAAATCGCTTGAACAAGTTTATGGACAAACTGGCTGTAACGCCATCCCCCTCACCAGTGCTCACCCTGGAGGGTCATGGTTCCCTCTCTATCCAGCAAACACGCCCTTGTTTCTGCTCTGCTGTGTGTAGTGATAGCAGTTTTCTCCTGCTTCCATGTGACCCCACTTACCTTTTTAAGGTCGGGTGGGAGGCAGGCAGGTCCTGGGATACCTGAGAAGGTGCTGGGCATTCATATGGGAGTGGATAGCCCTGGACCTTCCAAGCGCCTCTGCCTTTCCACCAGCCTGTCTTGAAGTTCCTGGGTCCCTCCCACCCAGCCCTGGATCAGGCCTACCTGTCTGTCTCATCGTCATCATCCATGGTTCCATCTATCGCTAGTACCCAGAGCCTCAGCCAATCAGCAGCCAGCAGACTGAGCTTATTAATGTCTATCTAACATCTGGTGGCCAGATCCTCCAGCAGAGGGACTGGTCCACACATCAGCAGCCTAGAGGAGCAGGGTGGCCCTTCAGATGGCAGGATGCACACTGTCATTGTAAGAGCGGTGGTGTCTGAGGGTCCTGGATTGTGCATATCATAGCTCCACAAAAGGCTAGGGACTGGTCCACACATCAGCAGCCTAGAGGAGCAGGGTGGCCCTTCAGACGGCAGGATGCACACTGTCATTGTAAGAGCGGTGGTGTCTGAGGGGTCCTGGATTGTGCATATCATAGCTCCTTTCCCACTCCATGATCTGGGAAACCTCCCAAAGGGTCCAGACCCAGAGCATGTTCCCTGGCAAATAAGCCATTCTGAGTCTCAGAGATGCAATTGGCATCATCTTTGCACTTACCAATCTACTTACCTACCTGTCCATCTTCGTGTCGATCCACCAACCACTCCATCCAACCCATCATCTACCCACTGATCAATACATTTACCTAACTATCCTTTCATCCACCTACTTAATACCCATGTACCCATCCATCTGCTCATCCACCCATCCATCTGCTCATCCACCCATCCATCTGCTCATCCCTCCATTCATCTGCTCATCCCTCCCTCCATTCATCCACCCATCCCTCCCTCCATTCATCTGCTCATCCCTCCCTCCATTCATCTGCTCATCCCTCCCTCCATTCATCTGCTCATCCCTCCCTCCATTCATCTACTCATCAATCCATCCATCTGCTCATCCACCCATCCATCTGCTCATCCCTCCCTCCATTCATCTGCTCATCCACCCATCCATCTGCTCATCCCTCCATTCATCTGTTCATCCCTCCCTCCATTCATCTGTTCATCCCTCCCTCCATTCATCTGCTCATCCACCCATCCATCTGCTCATCCCTCCATTCATCTGTTCATCCCTCCCTCCATTCATCTGTTTATCCCTCCCTCCATTCATCTGTTTATCCCTCCCTCCATTCATCCACCAACCCTCCCTCCATTCATCATCTCATCCCTCCCTCCATTCATCTGTTCATCCCTCCCTCCATTCATCTGC